ACCCTCGCCATTCAGTTGGGGCTTGGTGACTTGGTCGTTAATCAGCCTCACCTAGCCGCAGAATTCCTCACCAAGAGTTATTGCAGGTCCGCTCACCTGATTGCGCAGCGAGAGGATGGCAGGTATAGCCCTGTTGTCCATGGCACCATTTTCCATCATATCATTCTGCCGTCCCGCGACCGCATCGATCCATCCAGCCGAGCCAACTGGCTCTTTGTTTTACCTGTTGCTGCCGATCACGTCCCTATTCATGATGATCAGGCAGACCCTCCAGCGGATGAGATGCAGGACGCTATGGATGCAGCTGAGCCTGTCCAGGATATACCAGAGACATCTACCCGACAACCCCCTGCTCCCGAAATCACACTTGAGGAAGTCCTCCGTGCGATTCATCAGCAGAACCAGATGAACGCCGCACTGGAGCGAAGGCAGAAGGAGCAGTATGATGCTTTACTCAGCACTATTGCAGCAAACCAGGAAGCTACTAATGAGAAGTTTGGAGAAATTTTCAGCGAGCTAGAAGCCCTCCGCATTAACATCACTGCTGCCTCTGGCACCGGTTCTGATCCTGAAGCGACTCCTTCCAGACGCCGCTCCCGCACCAGAGGCCGAGCCCGCGGTCCTCAGCAGCCATAGTTTTAGTTTGCTTATGTTTGTTTTTCGTTTTTGTCGTTGTACTGTACTTTTACCGCATTTATATCACAACATTGAGGACAATGTCTGATATAGTGTGAGAGAGGTACCTTTCATTTCCGCATTTTCCCTTTTTCGCACTTTTCCATTTCGTTGTATTTTCAATTCCGTTGTATTTCTTTTCGCAAGTTAATGAAATGAGCAAATCTTTGTGCTATTTTCTTTAATTTCGAACTTTCCCCGATTATTTAGCTATACCAGAAAAAAATCTTTAATTATTCGCATTACCCGACTTACCTACGGAATCGTAATTAGGAAGCCGAGAACGATTAAACAAGACCAATACAATCTTGACATCTTTGACTCCCTACTTAAGCAATTCCATCCCGATTACCATTACGAGTACACTTTTAGTTTCAGTTCAAAAGTAACCCCTAGTAGTTTATACTAGCAGTCAGCACCGTCTGAACACAAACCACGTGGGGAGCCGATGAATATAAGCGTTTGATGCCTAATCAATAATGATCCTTCATATCTCGATGCAAAATGAAAAGAAATTGCACCAAAGTACACGGTCGCATATAAGAAACGAGAAATATGAGAAGGAGTCCATTGCAAGTTGGTTCAGAGGTACTGGTTCTGAACTCGGTAGGGCGTGCTACGGCTCGATCCCCCACAACCTCCAAATCGGATAAAATATGTAGGGTTACCACACTCGTGTACCAGACCCCGTGCTAAAAAAGGATCAAAGTCGCTAACCGGCTACTCCACTACGTGCGTGCTAAGGCAAAGGGCTTAATGTGATTGCGCTAGAATGAAACCGGGCGAAATAAGATCGAAAAACTCCAGGTGAAATCGTAATGTAATTGCCGATTGTTTCGTTTAACGGGAAGTCGACGACATAGCTTGTTGCTTGTGTCATTAGTGTATCGGTAGTGTTCTATCAAAGTACCGAATTATCCGACAAAACGATCCCTCGTACGGTTTGTTATGAGTATGCGTGAATAAAATCTTGTCCGCCGATTTTCAACCGACTATTTGCTTGAGGACAAGCAAAGGTTTAAGTTTGGGGAAGTTTGATAACGAGAAAACGCATCAATTATATTGCTAGGTTTCATTAACGTTTTATCGCATATTCACCGTTTTAACACTCGATTTCTCGAGTTTTTCTTACCATTTTGCAGGTACATCATTATATGGAGCTAAATCATGAATTAAGAGCAAAAGGAACAAAAGAAACCATAAAGAGATGAAGAAATGAAGAAGCCTGCAAAAGACTGCATAATTTGTTGCAGCCACGGCCGTCACAAGGGTGTCACGACCGTGACACCCCAATTTGAGCCATCACGACCGTAAGAGAGTGGTCACGACCGTGACACTTAAAAACCACAAGTTACGAACGTGAAGACCTTGTCACGACCGTGACAAGGGTAAAATTAGGTTTTTGACTCAGACTACGTCAAGGCATTACGTGAAGACCATTTCTCCTATTGGCATTACGTGAAGACCATTTCTCCTATTTTGTTGCCACGTTCCTGCATTCCTTCCACAAACTCAGCAAGGCCCATGCAACAAAGGACCAAAAATCCAGCCCATTAAGGATTCTATAAATAGTACAAGTTCTATGAACAAACCAGACAGAGCATTTTTTATTCGAATTCCTGCGGAAGCTCTGGCGAACTGTATTACGAACCAGCCTTTCTATTCCTGCATTATTTTTAGTTTTCTGTTTCGTTTTTTATTGTATCCAAACCCGCCATATAACTATTTCCAACATCAGGAAATTGTTATACATTTATTTGTTTCTAAACCTTCAGCATTCGTTTATTTTCAATTTCCGCCAACTCCAAGCTTTCCGGTCTGTGGAAGAAGGAGTCTGCTCGAATATTTGTTAACCAGGTTTTTCATTATATTGCAATTTAATTTAATTATAATGTTTATTTATTTTTCTGCCATGAGTACGTTATTATTAAATTTTCTGTCTCTGTCTAGTTCAACACCGATGAGTAGCTAAACACCTTAGGGCGGTATGTAGTTATAACAAACTTAACCGGTAAAATATAACCATAGGCTAAAAATAATTAATCACTTAACATTCTGGCTGATACTTTTTAATTGAAATAGACCTTTTCGTTACGAGAGTAAGAAAAGAGTATTAGGTTAGGTCAAGACCACGAGAGTGTGAGATTTTAACCAGATAGCTAAAGTTAGGCATTTAAATTAAACACAGCGAGAGCGCTTTAAGATAAATTAGAATTACTTAGTTTCCAAAAATTACCTCTAAACACTTATGGGCTAGCGAGAGCAGGCATAGTGCTTTAGGGATAAGATCTGATATAAGACCACGAGAGTGTGAGTTGAGGGTATTTAAACTGGTAATCTCTACCGAATAGATTAAGTGAACACCTTTATAAGCCTAGGTTAGATTGACCCACCTAAGTTAGTATAATTACATACCGACCGCCTTAGTATTACTTTATTAAAACTTAAATTTAATTCCGCCTTCAATAGTCTTAAAAATCAACAAAAAATCGTGACAACCATTCGCCTTAGCTAAACTAGAAGTTCATCTAGCACTAAGTAACCATAGAATCCCTGTGGATCGATAATCTTAAATATTACTTCGATAGGCTGTGCACTTGCAGTAAGATACCGCTAGACGCATAAGTAGACACGTCTTTAGCCCATCAGTACTTTGGGATTTTTTTTAAATGTGGGGTATTTTACGATTTTTTTTTTCCAAAAATTGGGTTAATTGGGTAAAAAATTCGTATAATTGGCGTCAACGACAGAGTTTGATAAAATAAATCTGGATTACACACTTTTCTGAAAAACTCTTAATTAAATTAATCATCATCTCATGATGGTGTCACAAAATTACATTTAGTAATAGGGTCAAGAGATCCTAACAGAAATGCATGTCACTATTGAACACTAGAAGCTGAAGGATTTGGAATACCAGAGAAACCAAAAAGATATGCAAGTTACAAAGATCAATAAATGGATTGAAGTAAAGCTTCTAGAATTGGAATCTTCGTTTTGATAAAACTGTAAAACAATATGGATTAATTCAAAACGAAGATAAACCTTATGTCAATAAAAATGTTAGTGGGAGCATGGCCGTCTTTATAATATTATATGTAGATGACATATTACTCATCGAAAACGATGTCCTTACCTTGCAATAAGTGAAAATTTGGTGAGAGAAATACTTTTCTATGAAGGACTTGGGTGAAACAACTTATATATTGGAAATTAGGATCTATATAGATAGGTCATAAAAACCACTTGGCCTTAGTCATAGTTCATATATAGACAAAGTGTTGATACGCTTTAATATGCATTATTCTAAGAAAATATTCATATTTATGCATGATACATTTTAATATGTATAATTCTAAGAAAGAATTCATACACATTTAACATGACTTATGTCTATAGGAAGCACAAGCCCTTTCAATTATGGAATAAATGGATTGCATGAATAAGATTCTACATACATTTGCAATAGAATCTATCATATATGTCATGTTATGTACGCGACCAGATATCTCTGTATGCTTTATGTGCAACAAGTATGTACCAGTATGATCTCAGTGATGCTTATTGAATTGCCGTACTTGAAAAGGACAAACGACTCATTACACACATAGAGTACTAAAAAGAAATAGGCGAGGTTGAATGCATGTTAGTTGTGTGGAGGCAAGCTAATCCAAAAAGAGCATCTTCGTAATATTCATGTAGTCTCAAGTGTCACAGAATTAGCTGCCCACATCTCCTTATATTAAAGGGATGAGTCACCAACCAAGCTCTCTAGTAAGCTAGAGTCATGCATGATTTTTTTACTGGAGTCTTTTTTTTATAAGCAACATAGAGACACACCACATACTTACCCAAAATATTAAAATAATAGGTGTGCGAGTTCTCACACTTATAAAATACTTAATCTAATTTTTTAATTAATATGAAACTTCCATCTCACACTTACACTTAATTCTGAACACTTTCAACTCAAAGTTATTTTTCTCAATAGTATTCTGCAATCTAAGTATTACTATTTGCTTTTGTTTTACTGTTGGAGAAATCTTAAACTTATCCAATATTGACTATGTGATTTATTTCTTAAAAGGATTAAAGTTAAAGCCATCTATCTATAGTGCTGCTAGTGCATAGAATCAAATGCGAATCTCATTTGAATTGTAAATATAATATTTTTGAAAAGAAACTATACTAGAGGGTGAAAATAAAAAACACTTTATCTCAAGCTGTCCTTTGAAGCAACCTTAAAATAAAAATATTAAACATAGTGCTATGAAAAGGATAAGTCCAAAACCTATATCCTGAGACTAGAACTATTATCCTCAAAAATGGTTCTACACATGGCGACTTTACTGAAGCTTCATTTACAACTAACAAGACCTATAGCCGGATCTTCATCCAGCATCCTATTGATCCTGAAGCTGTTGGCTGGTTTCAGATTCTTCAGAGACGAAGCACTTTACCAATCGAGGTTGTTTCTTTTTCGATTCGGGCAAATAGCTTTCAACACGGAACATCAAGTTTCTAACGTAGCAAGAATGGAACGAGCTTTAAGGTTAATCTTTCCGAGACATGCTGCCGTAGCCGATTCTGATTCAACTTCTTCAGAATCAGATCGGGAGTTGCAGAATCAACAGGAGGAAATGTTTTACTCGCTTTCAATGATGGCTCTTTGATCGTCTGATTCTTACTTGCTTAGTTTGTATAATCTTTGCTTAATTAATTTCTAATTTCTCATTTAGTTTTTTTTTCCACCGTTCGATCCTGTATGTTGATGATCTGTTTAATATTATGATTTGTGAGTGGCTTCTTTTGTCGGTTATCTAAATATTACTCTCCCTTTTAAGAGAATAATAATTTTATTAAATTATTTTTATACATTTTAAATTAATATTAATTTAAAGTGAAACAATAATAATTAAAAATATTAATTAAAGAATATAATAAAAAATTTAAAATAATTAAAAGAGAGAATAATAATTTTATCAAATTAATTTTATTATTTAAATTAACATTAATTTAAAGTGAAAAAGATAATAAATTAAAAATATTAATTAGAGAATATAATGAAAAATTTAAAATTAAAATTGCATAAGATAAATTGACTAAAATTTCGGGATAAAATGTGACAATTATTGTATTTATTTAATTATTAAAATTATTTTATCTGTTACAAGCTAGTTATTTTTGCATTTAGGCTTGTAGCGTCTTTTCCAAAGGTTTGAATTAAATTGGATTATAGTAAGTTTATAATTTATTTTTTTATTGAATAGTATAATTGTCCAATAAAAGAGCTGCTGCCGATGACATGAGTCATACTTTGCAATACAGCAGCGTAACAAATAACAAGTATAATTTTTTTGGAAATGGTTTTTTTACATATGTAACCTTCCAATAATTTAATTAAAAAGAGATTCTTAATTACTTATTTAATTTGAAATTTATGGAAAATATTGAGGCTAATTCATAATAAGTGAATATTTAATGGTGACAATTTTAGAAATGAGAAATGCTAAGTTGATATCTAAAATAAAATCAACACTGTTATATGTACCTTTTGCTTTTTAAAATAATTTTTCCATACTTTAGTTTTTGTGTCAAAGTTAAAATGCTTTGTAAATAAGTTGTTAACATAACACCACCTTTTTTTTTAAATAAATAAAAATCAGATTATGATAGTAACTGTAACGTCTCATACTGTTTTTAAGATTATCGACTGATCTTACAAACTAACACGAGTCTTTTCAGTTTTGTAACACTAAACTGCTTTTAAGATTATCGACTGACCCCACAAATCAATACGAATCTTTTCAGCATGCTTTGTTCTCACTTACACGCTTTTTTTGAAAAACTTTCTAAAAGATCACTCATCCAAATACTAATCCAAATCAAACACGCTTAGCTATGAAATTCTTATTTGTTAGGTTACCGAAAAGAAAATGCATATTATTTTCGATAGTCTAATAAATAAGAACTACATGGTTAAACGTACTTGATTTAGAATAATATTTGGATGAGTGACATTCTAGAAAGTTTTTCGAAAAGCGTGTGAGTGAGGACAAAACATGCTGAAAAGACATGTGTTGATTTGTGGGATCAGTCGATAATTCTAAAAGCAATATAGGGCATTACAAATGGTATCAGAGCATACCTCTCTCATGAGTGAGAGGATTATGAAATTATGCAGGTATGAGACTGCATGTTTAAAAGAAGACTTATAAGGATTGATTGATATTACCTATATCAACAAGGTTGAAAGAAGACTTATGGTATGTTTTTGTTCTTGGGGTATTTTAGCATTTAAATAGAATGCTTATACTTTAATGTTATGATGATAAATTTAAATTCATATGGGAGACCTACCATAAAATAACTAATGTCTTTTTTACAAGTTTAAAATTCATATGGGAGATCTGCCATAAAATAAGTAGGGTTAATACTTATTTTCCCTTGCCGTTTGAGCGAAATTGAAAAACCCCTATAAAAAAAGTTAGAATTCCCTCACTGACTTTTAAAGATTTCCTTGTTTTTCTCCCTTATCAAATCCAATCATCAAAAAATCTGAAGTGGCAATGACATACTGTGACATTTTAGCATTTTCCATTAAAATTTAAAACAAGCGGCAATTTAACCTCATGTAAATGACCAAAATAACCTTAAATGAAATTGATTAACCCTATTTTAATAACTTAACCTAATTAAAACGAAAACACTGATTTATGAATAACTACTTCATTCTTATTTGTTTTACACCCTCAGAAACCCATATTTATTCTTCTTCGCTGACACTACGTTTACTTCTTCCTTGTTGATATTACGTTTTTGCTAACACTGAGTTTACATTTCTTCTAACTTTGGAATAAGTTTCATCTTTTAACCCGACAAGGACATGCTTTGGTATAAAAAATGTACGATTTGTATAATATTGTTTACTTTCCTGTGGTCCCAATGCCATGTGCATTAGAATCTATAGTTGTTTAGGTTTCTAGTTGTCCTAATTGTTTAATGGCCAGGTTTCGAATTTTAGGTTTTCACCGTGTGGATAAATTACATTTTGTTTCATTAAACTATGAATGTTAATCTCGTAACATTTGTTTAACCCTTGGTAATATATGTAATTGTAGACATGGGCCTATTTAGTGTAATATTTCATCATGGGGGTAACTTAATTTATGATAAGCACATGTTTTATAGGGGATGGAATGAAACCATTGTAGAAGGACAAGACATCGATAAGTGGAGTTTCTTTAAGGTTGTTAGATTAGTTAAGGAGTGGGTTATGATGGATTTAGGTTTTGGAGAAAATTTCTTGGACTTGATGAATGATTTCTTCAATTTATTGATGACGTGGAAGCTGAAGAGATTACAAAACACAACCTTGATGATTCTATTGATGGTCTTATATGGGTTGAAGACATGCTAAGTAAGGTTTTGAGGCCTAATGTTAAACATTTTAGTGAAGGTAGTGATGATGTTAGATACATTAAGTTTGATGATAGTGAAAAAGAAAGAACTTGTGAAAGAAATGAAGGATTTGTGAAAGTTACAGTGCAAATACCAACTCATAATAATAAGGTTAAGGTAAATGGAAAGTCACTAAGATTCAAGGTAAAGGGAGACAAAAATCTAAAGAAGATAAAATACCCATCCAAGATGAACATGTTTGTTCTTGCCAAAATGATAAGTTCTAGTTCAAAGAGGAATCCCAAAATGTTGGAACTGAAGATATGGACTATGAAAGTGAAGAATTGGAAAGGTTAGACTTCGATGATAGTGGATATGAAAAAATTCCTAAGTATGATAAGTTTAGAGGAGAGTTGCTGAACAAGGAATTCCAATTTAAGTTAGGTTTGGAATTTAATTCCTTAAGTAAATTCAAAGGTGATATTAGTGAGCCGTATGTTCTGAATGGAAGAGAGATAAAAATTGTTAAAATGAAATCTATAGGATTAGAGTAGAATGTATGGGTAATTATAGTTTTATGTCATTGTGTAGTAAAGTGGGTGACAAATAAACCTACTAATTAAAGACATGGGTGGGGACAGAGACATGTGTTAGAATTTTAAATAAAAAATCTCCCAGTATCAAGTGGGTATATAAACTAGTGGCGGAGAAAAGAAAGTCAACAGATAAGGTTAAAATGTTTAAGATAATGACTAAGCTAAAGGTGAAGTACCCTGTAGGTATCACCAAAGGAAAAGCTTTGAGAGCTAGAAACATGGTTGATGAAATTATTAAAGTAGAAGCAACAAAATAATATACCATGGTGTGGAAATATGCAATAGAAATAAAGAACCAATGTGATTGGAATACTGTGAAAATACTAGATGAGGAAGATGTGTTGAGTTGTTAGTGACTTCTAACATGGAGTATGACTAACATTTTGTAAGTTCATCATCCCTATAATGGACTTCAATTTGTAGTGGATCTTGGAAAAAAAATTGTCCGTGTTGCTTTTGAGACCTAGTGGAGATACCTTAGAGCATCTTTAATGGGAGCAACTAAATTGGATGAACTAAGTTATTTTACGTGGATCCAAATTGACATGAAAGATTTAAGCAATCCAAAATTGAATTAAGAAGTTTTTACTTAAATGGTGATTGTTTATAAGGAATTCAAACTTGGTATTAAATGGTTAATAAAAATCTATTATTTATGTTAAATAATTAATAAAAATCTATTATTTATGTTATAATGAGTTAGAGTACGTTGCTTGCGTAGAGCACGTAAACTAGTTTTAGAGCATCTCATATGCCATGTCAGCTCTACTATAATGCAAATTTCTTATTACTAACGTAAGCTATACAAAATTTTGGTTTAACAACTATGCGTTAAAGTTGCTCTTATAGACATGTAGTATCTGCCATGCATTATCAAAATGCAAATCTAGAATTATTTGTTAATTCTTGTTATATGAGGGAGACTTATAAAAAGTGTTATGAAAATAATGCAAGTCCCATCAATGATATGGACATGTAGCCAACCATGGATATTGAAGATATGTTACCACTACAGTAAAAAAAGGGTCCAGGTAGGCCTAAGAAATTCAGGTTTAGGGAGCATGATGAAACATGGTCAAAGATGAGGAGGTTTGGTGAGACATATAGATGCACCTAGTGTGACAAATTTAGCATAATTCAAGGAAATGCCAAAGAAATGAAAATGATCTTAATGCATTGAAAAAAAAAGGTAACTTTTCAAATTTGTTTAGTAACAGTCTCATTTATTATTGTAGTTTTCGGATTTGAAAAATTGAGTTTGGCACAAGGAAATTATCGGGACGAGTCGCGTACTAGGTCGCTTTCTTTAAGACGTTTCGCCGTACTGCCAAATTATGCAAAGTAGTCGATTTACGACGACGCCTCCAGGATAAAACAGTCCGTTCAAAAAACTTACGATTATCAATTGCACACTGATAAATCACTCTAGAAATACACCTTGCTAAGTATCTGGTGAAAATAACCAGTCGGAAAACCAAGAAAAGAAATATTTTAGATGAAGAGAATTGAGGGAGAGAAGAGGGAAATCGTGTGAACTTGTGAAATCCGAAGTGTTCACTACTGAATTTCTACCCTGTATTTATAGGCAGCTACCTGCACCTGAGTAGGGAGAAATTCGTGGTGAGTGGAGAAAATGGTGGGAGAATGAGAAAATCGTGGAGGACTGGATCTAGTGT